GAGAAAACAAGAGAACTTAACATGGACAAGGTAGGGAGAAAATAGGAGAACTTAACATGGAGAAGGTAGAGAGAAAACAGCTGGAGAACTTAACATGGAGAAGGTAGAGAGAAAACAGCTGGAGAACTTAACATGCAGGAGGTAGTGAGAACACAAGAGAAGCATAGGAAAACCTGACCAGAGTGGTTTCCAGGTTCACATGAGAATTTAAACAAAATCCTCCACAGCCTTAAAAATGTAAGTACAGTATCACTTCACAAACAACATCATTTTTATAGAAACAGACAACAGTGAATGATATGTCAATGTAAAAATAACAAACATTAAAACAACAACAACTACAAAAATCAATCTACCTGAACATGAAAGGCTCGTGCTAACTGATAACAACTCTCTGCTTGCATTGCTTCCACTTCTGTTCCATGAAATGCATGGAGAGCAAGGTGTTGTACTTTGCTGTAATCCTTTAAAGAAAGATTTTGCATGACTTTTCACCAATAATCACTTCACMTTCGATGCATATAATAGAGTTTTACAAAGTAAAAATATCTTGTGTAATCCAATTTCCAAACCCTCCCTACTAAAGGTTATTCAATTGGCCTTTCGGAAATTAAAAAGGAGACTGGGAACAARTAYAAAAATAGTCCACTTATATTKAAAACTRAACCTGGCCACATGAAAAACTACACTACAATTAGTGTTCTTGACGTCAAGTTTGAGACTATTTAGTTGTATGAATTAATTTTTTCAGTTTTGCATGCTTGCAAATCTGTAGTTATAATTATTAATCGGAATACACCCAAACTCAGCAACTATACTCATTTTAGTATGCTTTCTCTTGTCCTTGTATCTGAGTTTTGATTACTTTAACTGTATTGAGTTTGTGACTAGTCACCAGTTTTGGACTCCGATATACAGTGTAAAGCATTTAATGACAATGATAGAAAATAAAGCTGACTGGGTTCATATTAAGATCCTTTAACATATCTAAGATCTGCATATGCCTTGAAATGTTTCTTTTCAGGCCAGGATACTTTTCTGACATATAAGTATAAAAATCGATCAAGAATAGCAAAGAAAATGAAGGGAATAAAGGTAACTTGACAAACAATTGAATTATAATTTATATAATCGTGTGTGAATTTTGTATGAAAAAATCACAATGAAAAAGTGCAATTTTTACTATTGGAAAACTTTGTGCCAAACATCTTTTTTTTCATTTTTGTAATTTACTGATCAATTTTGTGCTCAAATGAGTAGCTAATTCAAATATCACATGATTGATTCCCAGGGATTACTTTGATTTCAAAGCTGCTACCAATCTTAGTGAGAAAGAAACAATTTTTGCTGTTACTCCAGTCCTGTAAGGATGGAGTATCAACTATGTTATCGCCCGATGTAAGAGTGTCTGTAACACTGGTGATGTCACAATAGCATGACGTCAATCTACATTATTAATATTCAATCTTCATTCAATGTACTAAATGCATGTGTGCGATTGGCTTAAATCAATCACGTGAGTTTGCGATACGCCACATCATCACCTAATGACCGTGCACTAATGAGAATACATCATGCTATCACATAACGACTGGTTAACGGGTTAATGATTTTGATAAAAAAGAAAAAATATTATACACAAAACTATTTATCATTCAATTATTAAAGTACCTTTTTAAAGAAGAAGTGATTTGCCAGGTGATTGAGAACCATAGGATTAGAACTGTCTATGGTGTAGGCATTGGACAGCAGTTGAACACCTAATTTGATAGAATCAGGCTAAAAAAASAGAAAATTATCATAAACTACAAAAACAGACAGAATTTTGTGGAATGTGCCAATGACAATGACTAGTCGCTGACTAGTTTTTTTGTCTGCAAACTGTTTTGTACACACCTTTTTGGCATTGAGCTCCAAGATGGCTAAACCAATCATTGCTCCAGTACATCGAGGTTCTAGCTCAAGAGCTCTCTCAAATGCCAATCTACAAACATGTTTTGATATCATATGATTATTTCAATCAAATTAGAATTTTAATGGTCTGTTTAAAATTCAATAACATTTAGTATTTATATACATTACTGTAATAATTATACTTATCATAATTAGCATAATTATCATAATTATCCATGTGAAATAACAATGCCAATGCAGAAAAATCCATCATTACCTGGCTTTGTCCAGTTTGTTCAGCTTAACAAAACAGTGACCCATGCCAAGTCTTACAGCAGCTAAACAAATGAAC